GATTGTATGGGAAATGCCTAGAAATGTCCGATGTATGGTCTTATCTGCACTGAGAGGCTTAGGAGTCTCTAGGTACCTACTGAGGACATTATGCTAGGGAGTCTCCTAGGAGACTTAACAAATGAGTATGACAAATATGAACTGAAAAAAACATAATCACAACTAACTGTGGAGCAGAGGTTAAAACACCCGTAATGAGGTTAGGTCCTGCAGCCACCAGTTCCATGGATGTCCATAAGAAGAAGCAGCTGCGCTATAAGGGTGTGCATTTATTGCTCTTCCAGAAAAGTCTATATATAGGGAATTCCTGACTGAGGATCAGGAACAGAGATCTGTGTGATGTCTGTTTGTGCAGACTCAGTGGGTACCTATTTGCCTTATCCAACTGCTACAGTTGACCCTCATACAGATGATGCTGTCTTTGAGCCACGGGCCAGGCCCTATGCTTAATATGACCTTGTGTGCAATTCCCAGGTTACTCCAATCAATTACTGTGATCAATGTATGATGAACCAAGGAAAAATGTGCTGCAATGCGTGATAACAGCTGCCATTGGACACTTGCTGAAGATACACACATTATGGTAGTTTTCACTGTCCTCCAGAGCTCACAGCTTGTCTGTCTTCCTTGTCCTGCCCATGGTTTTATTAGCATTACAGACTGGTTTCCTGGTTTTCTTTTTAGCTGAGGCATCTCTACTGAAAAAGATCAACAGCAACTGATTTGAACTGTGAGGCTTTGACAGATGAAGCAAAGAATTCAAGCTGGAACCTGAGGTCTGGTTGAATGACATCAAGAATCACTGTCTTCGAATCAGATGCTTTACTGGGTCAGCCAACTTCGATTCCCTACTGCTGATGGCACTCTTCGACATAGTTTCTGGGAGAGGGGGCAACTGCAAAATGAGATGGTATCAAACTGCTTCTTACCGATAGCTCGTGTTGTCTCTGAACGGCCAGTTAGCTGACATCTCTAATCAATAGGGCCAGATGAACACAGCGATATTGAATTCTGCAGCTCCCTAGTGCTCAGTTTGATTTCCAGTACTTGTTTGGTTTGATTATCTTCACACCTTTCCAAGCTTCACAGGCAGGTTTTTGTTCAGAAACAACATCTGAGTCATGGCCACTCTTGTAAAAAATCTCTTTTTAGATAATCCAGGTCAAGAGTGCATACATAAGAATCTATTATTTGTTATTTTTTCCTTCATTATGCCTTTGCTTAAAAAAGCCTCTCATCCAACCAGAGAGCAGGAGAAAATGCTACAAGACTTAAGTGAACCTTGAGACACTGTAGAAAATGAATAGCAAACATCTGAATCATAAAAGCCTGTAAATCAATTAGTGCTCATCAGACTACTCAGTAAAGATTTAAAAATAAAAACCATGCTTGCACAGTTCAGGATCAGATTGCAAAAGATCTGTGATTCTTAAAAAGAGCTAAGTTTGCTCATCTGTCTATTTAAAACAAGCAACCAGATCTGAATCTATGCATTTTTTGGAAAGAATCTGTATTGTAATTAGAAAGGAGATACGGAAGATTAATCAGTCTGGAAAACTATTAAATAACTATTCCTTTCTGCTCCTGTGCTATGTGCAAACCTCAAAACTCACTTTGAAACAAAATACTAAAAATCCTATTGCAAATGCTCTCCAAGGTTATATGATGAAAGTCTTATTTTTTTCAGAGTTCCTGACCAACCAGGGCTCCCAGTGTTTCTTGAATTTGGCTGCGTGGAGCCAGATGCCAAGCGTCCGTGGAAGCCTGGCTGTGCAGGGGGCTGCCTCAGCAGGGCTTCAGCCTGAGTTCTGGGCTCAGACTGCACCTGGTCACACAGTGGAAGCGAGAGGACTGTGGTCCTGCTCCAGTTTTGAGTGTAAGGTGAGCTGAATAATAATAATTAAAAAAAAAAGTAATAAAAAAGAAAATCCTGCAGGTTTTGTTGTTTTAGGCAAACCCTGACTAGAAGATTCCTAGGGCTGTTCATTATCAATAATGACGTATGATATCAATTAAGTCTTTCAGGGTTTGGATACTGGAAGAGTATAACAGTTCTGCTGCCCCAGCATCATAATACTGTTTAAAGTTTGTCAGACAGGATAGCAATACTTCAGGGATGTGGCATGAAATCTCCCTCAACTGGTCTTGTTTACTGTCTCTCCCCTTACTCACTCACAGCTCCCAAGGGGCCGGGATCCACTGGGACTTCATCCCAGGCCTGATGCTTCAAGTGCATATAAGCATCCTTCTTCCACACCATCGGGATATCTGACCCTAGCATAATGTCCTCCATTATGTCCTCCAAGTACCAGGACTGAATGCAACTCTTGTCGTCCGAGGACTTTGCAGCATTCCAGTCTCCTCTGCTAGAGTCCTAGGGGTGCTAAGTGAGGAACTGCCCCAGCTGAAAGGAGAGTGGGAGAAGGCACATTTGCTATCATTCACTGTTATCATATAAAAAAGTCATCCACCACTAGTTAAGGCTGATAGCATCTAAAAGGTATAAGGCCATCTACAATCCATCTGTGATTTGTTCACCAGCTTTCAGTAAGGGGTTTGTTGTTATTAGGATTTTATTTCCCAAGTGGGAGATGGTAAAGAAAATTTAGTTTTCATGTGCCAAATCGGTAACATGTAGGAGATGAAGCCCTTGGGCCAACAGCTGCAGTTTTATCAGATTTATGCAATGAAATATTAATGGGCTAAGCCTTCCCTCAAGCATCTTTTTTCCTTCCTCATGGTGCTAGATACTATCACCCAGGTTTTCCTGAAGGGGGAATATGCTTGTCTGTTGCTGCAAAGTGAGATAATGGCAGTAGTGGAAAAAAAACCTTAGTCTTTCACTCTAGCCCCCATCCAGCACCCCCTTCCCCAGCACCAGTGCACAGGATGAAATCAGCTGAGGGGGCACAGAGGTATTGGTACACCGTACTGTTAGAAGGTGATGTCTTAGAGTGATAAAAACAAATTAGAATTGTACAACATTTGCAGCTCTCCAAGAAGAACTAAGGTGCATCTTGTCCTGTCTCAGGTACACTGATACACATTAGTCGTCTGGCTAAGATCTAATATCCCACTTCTCACCTATATTCCTTGAAATCAGGTGAAATCCCATGAAGAAGGCCTATGACAACCTCCCAGAGTAAGTATGTCTTCATCCAGAGCATGCTCAAGTGATTGATCTGATTCCTGTTGACATAGGTAGCTTTACGTCAGGCCACAAGAACAGGACTGGAAGTATTAGTCCCATCTGTGCCCAATGGCTTTCACCTCTAACAGTATTTCATTCTCCTTATGTCAGGAATATGAAACTGTTACAGATTTAGTTTACAGCTGATACAGAGAGAGAAAATGAGTCAAAATTCTCATCTATTACTGTCTCCCTAAAATCTTGCATCTTCCGTAAGATCTGTAATGCCATCATCTGACATGGGAGAGTGCCTGAAGCTCTCCCTGAGCACCACCAATACAGGGAAAAGGAATTTCTGATCTGAAGGAAAAAGAGGAACAATGTCTTGGTGATACTATGGCACACTTACACAGCTTCGCTACATGTCTACTAATGACCAGGAAAACTGGAGGCTTTTGAAATAATGTGGACTTGCATCTTAACAGACTTTACTCCTGATAAAGGTGCCAAAGCCCCATCTCCTTTGACTTTTCTCTGTCCCCTGCTTTATGCAAATCCTTATGACCTCAAGCTGTTTTTGTATGTAATTCCCGTGACTTTCAGAGCTTTGTCACTACTAACCTGCATCTTTTTGCTCTTCTGCATTGGCCAGAAAGGACATATACATGATAGCCTAATGAATTTTGGCTATTAAGACTTCCACTGGAACAGTGCTTCCTTCTACCCTGGGATAACTGCGCTACTAGCTAACAGGGTTTTAGACACACCAAGCTGACCATCAGATTGACCCAAAGATGTAAAATCACCAGTCTACTCTAGTCGACATTGTAAAGAGCATGGTGAACCAACCTGTTTTATAGAACATGTTGGACTACAGAGATCCTGTCTGCACTTGGAGGGACAAAGGTCTTCCAATTCCTGTTGAAGGGAAGTAACCATATTTTTGATCTGGTGTTCTTAAAACTAACATAGTGGCATACTTGAGAAGAGCATGATTCTGATGTTACTGATCCTGACCGATCCCGTTTATACTAGTGGGAACAATGTTTTCAACAAGGGTTAAAGGATCCTGGACCAAGAATGATGGAACCAAAAGTGAGAGGTACTATTTCATAACTGACATCTTATTCAGTTAAGTTGAGGACCTAACTGAGGGGACGAGTCACGGTGTGTTTGGCAAGACACGTGCAAGAACTCCAAGTGCAGACACAACCTACAGGTTCTGCTACTGCTCAAAAGCAGCTCAGATTCCAGTCTGAACCTCCACAGCTCAGCTCTAGAGAGCTGACATGGATCTCATGGTCAGCACAAACCAGCCTATTGAATATCTCTCTTGCTACCTGTTTGATATGAGCAACTATGGACAGGCCTTGGACTTTTGACTGCAGCATGGAGAACACTTGGAGTTTTGCTCTCATTTCAGCAGGTGCAGGTTTTGAGTCCTTGGAAAACAAATGGTCATTTGCTTTCCTGGTCACCTCTCACTCAGTTTTTTTTCTTGCCGTCATTAGAAATGGCACAAAAACTAGTGAAGGTCAAGGGTTTAAATAGGGTTCCCTTTCTAACCAGAAAGTTTTTGATGAGCTAACAATGTAAGTAAGTGCAAATCTCAGCTGTGCTGGTCCCATGACATCACAAACCTTAGGCATAGCAAGTAGCATTCTTGAATGCATCAAAATCTTGTCTTTTAGCATTTAATGCGAGACATTACAAACTAATGAAGAGGAGAAATGTATGCAGTGTTGCTGTAAACCAAATATACAGATGTAGAATAATTAAGAATAAACTGTTCCATAAAAATGCATGTCAATAAAACCCAGTCTGATAAAGTGATTTATGAATAATTTTCTAGAATTACTAAAAAGAATGATTCTCATTTGCGGCTCTGGAAGTCTTGAGTCACATTTTTTTTTTCTTTTAAAAAAATGTCTTAAAACACATGGCTTTACAGCTGCTGCTTGGAAAATATACACCTCCAAAGTCTGACTTTCATTTAAATACAAATGTACAAAATGTAAACTGAGACAATAGAGAAATTTACAAAACTTTTTTTTTAAAAATAATAAAGACAAAATTCAGTTCTAGTATGATGCTATTTAAATACGTGCAAGTAGTCATGTTCATTGAATTTCTATTGCAATGTTCTAAATAGACAAATTTGATTCACACAGTCTTGAGTGCCACCTCCAAAAACAGACCTGAGTGGAAAATTCTTCTTAAAATGCGAGGCTCCACTGGAAGGAACGGATAGAAAATTTCCATTTTTGGGAGATCCTTTTTTTTTTCACTCAACGGTGGAGGCTCTCTCATCCATAGATTATAGTGGAAGGATGCAACATGTTGTTTCATAAAACTGAGCTGGAACTAGCTGCTTCCAGTGGAGTTTGAACTTACGTGATTTGAATTTATGTGATGATTTAAATTGGCCTTTGAATTTGGAGAACTCTTTGCATTGTTCTGATGCTGTAGAAAGAGGAAGACAATGACAATTAGATTCCACAAATATGCCATGCTTTCTTTTAGTCCAACGTTGTTTATTTCATGGTGACAACATACTGACTGGACTGCAAGATTTTTGTTTGAAGATCTTTGATGTAAAATATTCTTCATGTTCTTTCCTGTATTCTCTCTACGTCAGGAGGACCATGTCTGTTCTTGGGGAGTGCAGCAAAGAAGACTCACTTGAGCTCCAAACCAATTCACTGCAGAATGTCAGTATCTGCTAAATCTGACTAATACAGAGGATACCTGCCAATGCTCAGGCATGGTTTTAACCCTACAGAAATACATCGGTCTAAGAATGTTATTTAGATTTGCAAATGGTGGTATGGTGCCTCATGAAAGCTGTATGTCACATATTCTCTGGTCTGCTCTCTTCTCTAGTGTCTTGGTCTCCTGCCATGAATACCTCACTCAACATTTGCATTTTCTTTTTTTATTTAACACATAAATCAAGGGTTTTCACAAGGAACTTATCAAAACCATATAATAATTTCAAAAGGCATTTCAGCATACCACTGAAAAATACTTTGGGTAAGAAGTTTTCAACCACTGGAAACAAAGCTGATGAAAAATGCTGGAACTTCTAGTGGTAAAAAAATCACAAAAGGTAGATGGGAAACCTCGGATAGGCAATATTGGTCAGGAAATTACCAGGTAACTGTGACAACAAGCCCTCCCTAAGACGTACTGTCTTTCTCCTACAAAAATATCACCAGAACATGGCTGTGACACCAGGCGTCTATGGGAGGTTCCTTGTCTTAGTCATAAAAGATCTCACCTGTCGTTTAAATATCCTCTGTAGCAATCCTTTCTTGGGTGGCTCTGGGGGGTAGCTTTTGTTTAGGTCTGGTGAAATAGTACCATTTGGTCCAAATACATTCAGTTCTTTGAAACACTCTGTTTCTATCATCTAGTGGAATACCGTAAGAAAGAAAAAAAGAAATTATACATCTGCATTAAACATATTCCAGTAGCTCTAGGTTGTTCAAAGTCAGGATCAGTACCAGCAGCTTGAGCTACATGTTAGGAGAGTTAGTTAACAGTTGAATTCC